GTTAAGGGAATGCTTCGTCGTAAATTTTCATTCGAAATTCATCGATGAGACTTTCCTGAATGATATTGTGGTTAAGAAAATTGTATTGATAAAGTGTAATTGGGAAAAGAAATTGTTGGAATGTGTACATCATTGCACAATAATTCATCAACTTACGTTTAATGTCAGTGAATTGACAAGTTAGAGGCTTGCAAATATATAATGGTACCTCCAATAGTTAAATTATATTTATTGAAATAGAAGAGAAGATATAGGTTTGATATTCAAAAGTGTCAAAGTTTATTATTATTGAATATGAATTTATTGCAGGTTTGGAGAAAAATTTGGTTTATAGTTAGTTCTTGTTGATTTACTTAAGTTATTGAAAAGTGATGCTGCTTCCTTATTGCGTAGCCACTTCAATCTATAAATTATAGATCACAGACTTCTCTTTTATAATGTTACTTTAAATAAGATTGTTACATGATGTGTAATTTGGAAAAATTACTTCCAAAATTGTATCTGTTTTATTATCAAACCTGTTATCATTACAGAAGAAAATATATTAATATCGATAATTTGTAATTTGTGAAACGTAACTTTGAAACATAAATAGATTCGATGGCAGAATCGTGTTATGGAAATCGTGGAATTGAATTTCTGAATCTCCGAATAGCGTTATTTGACATAATACTCGGAATAATATATCACTGACTGGCATCGATGTATTAATTGCGAACGATTTCGATCGCTATTAAACTTTCTAAATGGACGATGATTTGAAACGTTTGAGAACTCGAAGAGGTTAATTCGTGTGATCGAAGTGATTTATTGTTTATTGCTGGCAAATCGAATTGCTGGACAAGATTCAGGCTCTTTCATATCTGTCATTGCCGGGTGAATGCTCCGACCGATTAAACTGTTCGAATTGCCTACAAATCCTTTTTCTGTAGGTTTGTTATTGACAGCAGTTATCTATCGATATACTTAATAAATTCGCAGTTCAACATAAAACAAAGTGTATCATTGAAAAATTTTAACAAATTCAAAAAAAGGGGGAAAATGACGCGAAACATGTAGTAAATAAAAAATGGCTTTTTCCATGCTTCACTATTCAAAAATATAACATTGACACTTATCTAAATTCCTAAAATTCTTTACGATTGTATGACGCTCATAAAATGTAAGAAGTGTGAAAAATGTGATGGAAAAAATATCAACCAAATAATACATAAAATGTATTCCCTCAGAATTTTTGAAATTTCTTAAATTTACTTACCAGTCCTTCTATTTCTGTTTGCATCCGAGTATGCTTCACGGAAATTGAAGAGGGAGATAAAACCATCGGGAAACAAGAATTCCAAGATTCCAAAAGATCGTACATTCGATAGCAACCCAAAATCAAAACCGTCGTTTCTTCTGTTCCCAAATCGATAAATTCCATCTTCCCTCTACCTAGTAACGAGCACGATTCGCAATAATATTACGGAGGGACGTCTCTTCTGATCTGGAATTTCGCTGGATTCCCTCTACCATTACGTAATAAAGTGAGCAGCAAGTTATTCGAAATCCTACCCGTCGTCGATTATAATTATTAGAATCATCGATGTTCCCGAGGAACAGAGAGTGCAGAAAGGGGCGAGCCGGCAACTTGGAAATTGCATGCTCCAGATGAACTTTGTGCGACGAGAAACTCGATCTAACATTGATTATTCGAAAGTTGCTAATTCGTAGTGGTTGAAATGCTTCGATTTATTCGGTGGAAGCAGCGAATACCGCGGAATGCTGGGAAACAGTAGAACGAAGTTGACATTGCAATTACATAGACGTCGATAGGGTTGCAAAATTAATTTAGCGACGAGCTAAAACGCGTCCTCTTTCTCTCTCTCTCTCTCTCTCATTTTCTACCGCTCGCCGATGATTCTGTACGGTAAAGCACCAGGTAAACTCGTTTTCGCGAGAATGACTTAATTTTAATCCTAGATTGACCACTTTGATCGAACATAATTCCTGCACTCTCGTTTTTTCTCTATTGCCACGAGATTTTGTAGGATTAGAATACTATCTAAAAGTTTTATTATACATTTTATTCTCTAAATGTTCTGTTCTTGTAGTGATATATTATCTTCGTTAACTCTTTTGACGTTTTTGGAAGAATACTTCCTAAGGTAACTTTTAAAAAGAATACTGGATTGTTATAATTTTTATAGCATCGCTGAGCTCTATTGAGGCTATATATCCCATTAAAAATATTTGTTTTCGAATTTTGAGTATATCGTAGTATTGTATTTTATGTTAATATCGTAGGTTATCGAATTCTTTAAAGATAATTAAACGTAACTTCCTCAGACAGTGCGAAGAAAAGAAACTAGAGAATCCAGGCTTTAGAAGTTAGAAACCGGAAAAAGTGTATAACACGGAAGACATTCTCACTTTGAATCATTTATTTAGGAACGATTCCGCATAGACTACTTGAGTCACAAAGGAATTGTAAATAATTTGGCGCTAATTAAGAGAACAAAAATTATCATTTTTTTATTTTTAACTGACGGCATAAGCAATTAAAAATAACTAAAATTACAATTAATTATTATAAGATAAAATGAGTATTTCTTTGTCCGAAAATTACTTCGTTCAACCAGTCGTGTTCTCCAATTATATCCTCGAACGTAAGTTCAAACGAATTCATTCCGTGTTACAAAGAAAATCTTTCTGCCTTTAACTTTTTCCATTAGCCACCACCTTCGCATCTCTCTTCTCGTTTCATCCTTCTCTAGCTTTTCGCTCTATCCCTGTCTAAAAAGTTCCGTGGAGCGTGTCTTTTGACACGGAAGAAAGATAGTTTCTTGTCGCGAGAGAAAGCGACCGCCGCCCTGTTACAATCCGGAAAGAAATTAAGTCCGTAATGTTGTTTAGACGAAAAACTGGGACATGAAAAGCGAGCATCGCATTCGACTTCGTAGGATATAGTCGTATCTGCTTCTCTTTCTGTCTCGTTCGCTCCACCACTGTACGATGGCATAAACTGCTTATACAAGTTGCGTTCACGGTAGCGAATTTAATTTATTCTCCCCTTCCACCGATCACTGTTAAACGTGCAGCACGTGTCTGCGTACCCGAACCCCTTCTATGCTTGAGCGAGCCACGAAAACACGTGTAACGCGTGCTCTGTGGCTACGAAACAATTGCGGAGAGTGTAGAGTCAATGAGACGTTCCTTTCCGATTAATCAAAGTTTCCTTGGACTTTTGAATTACTGTGAATATCAGAGATTAGAGTATCGAATTTTTGAAAACTTCTCGATATAACCACTGTACAGTGCGCCGCAAGCAAACATTTGCACGTCGTTCTCTTAATTTTGGAGATCTATGTTTGAGCCGTTTAGAGGCCACGTTGATCAAACGTGTAAATTTAAAAGCAGAGAATGATGATGAGAGATGATGTTACGAAGACCATTTTTCATTATATGTATTTTCTATATTAACCTTGGAATTTGTTATTAGTTATATCATTTTGTTGAAATAAACGAACTCATGGGCGTAAGTTATTTGTTTTTGAAGAATTGAAGATTAAAACGTGTATTTATCTAATACGATTGAGAAATTAATAGAAAGTTGAGCTAATGAGCTTAGCTTCTGAGAAAATCATTCTTGATTTATATCGGGTGGATTGGAAGTTCTAAAAAAATAGTATGGTATAATATACTCAATATATTAATGCAAACCAGCATTCCAACAGTCCTGGAAATACCAGTCATTGAACGCAAGGAATCCAATAACTTGCGTTGACCGAGTAAATTTTTCTATCTGAATACCGGATTATGTACATATATCGAAGAATAAATTAACCATTGATATCTCAGGCGCCGCGCTATCCTCCAATTACATGTGTAGCCATCTTTTTTCTTCGGTCGAGGAAATCATGAAATCGTGAGCGCGGATCACGATTCCACGGCCGTGAATTTTACGGGAACGAGGCCATAAATAACCGAGGACACCGACGTGTATCTGGCTCCCGCTGGGCTGAATTTCGCCTCGGCTCCGATAATTAATCGATATCGTGGAATTACGAGCTCGATATTATACCGATACTGTTGGGCACGCATACAATGTACAGTGATCGAGGAACTGGTGGGTCGAGCCACGCGAAAGATCGGGATTAATGAAGATACTGCAGCGAAATCTGAAGATGCAATTACTGACAGAACAAATCGGGGATAATCTTGATTACGATCTACATCTGCTCTCGTACGTAACATCACGGATTGCTAATTAATCGAGGTCTCCATCTCTCTCTCGCTCTCTCTCTTTGCTGCCTCGATATCTGTTAGCCTTTTGCCTGTTCCTGGACCACTGGTCGCCAGGTATCGAGACGTTATCGTTTTAATACCGTAATAAACCAAGCGTATGTTCATTGATGGCATGTACCGCGGTGCAAGAACCGACCGTAAGCACTGGAATGTCGCAAAAACGATCGAAGACACGCGGAACAACGTGCTCGACGTGTTAACAACAGGAATGCAGTCCAATTTTTGCACTGACGCGCGAGAGCGCGCGCGCGGGTGCACGCTTGGCAAGTCGCCATCTACGTGCACGTCATTTCATATCGGTCCTTGTTGCTAGCTATCTGGCAAGACGGTAATAACGTCTCCTTCCTTATCTTTCCTGCCCTGTCTTCCTCTTCCTCCCTTCTTTCCTTTTCCCACCTTTCTTTTTTCTTTCCTATTTTTCGCGCATAGAACGACCTGTTCCTACTCAGCTCGCATCTTCTCATGGTGATATCGAAGAGGTGAAAATGTTTCGCGATACGGTGGCTATTTTCAGCTATTCCGTTTGCATGATTAGTTACGCGACGAGACGTTTCGATCGAGCATAACTTGATTTTTTCTTAATTATTGGCGATCGAGAAATGTTCTGGAATCGCTGTACGGGAGCAAATATTCCGTTACATTAGATTTGTTTTATTTTCTCCTTTTTTTCCCTTTTCTTTTTCTTTTCAATAAAATGTTTTTTGGCGTTCCAGGTAACATCAAGACGAAGGTTATGCTGGATGTGGAGTCGAAGAGAGGATACTGGCTGACGGTGTACGCGCAGGATCACGGAGTGGTTCCTCTGAGTTCGAGTTTGCAGGTTTGTGCAATGCGGAAGATAAATTACATGTTTAATGTATTATACTGTCCCGAGAAATATCTTCGTGTTTCGAAATTTTTGATTGTTCACACTCAGGCAGTGAAAATGGGAACAGGCAGAGAATACATTGCCACAACAATTAACGTAGATATATTTCCCAAATAATATTGGTTTGTTGAATAAGTCTTAACGAAAAAGAAAGAAGGAGAAATAATTAATCTTTGAAAAATATTTTCTGGGACACCATAATATCAAAAATTCGAGAGAAGTAGTAGAATTTACTTAAATATTTTGTATTTTGAGAATATTATAGCAAACGTACAGTAAAACTTTGGGTATTTATGAATTTTTCGATTTAATATAATTTCTTGTTAATTCCTCGATAAAAAAATCTGTGTTTCGATCAATGATCAAGGAATTATTATAGAATTAATGCTTATAACGTCGTTTACGCTAAACTATAAACACTGCCATTACATTTTTGTCATTGTATCGGAAAAATATCACGAACGATTATTTATTTCGTACTTTCTACGTGCATAAGCTCCTAGTAGCGAAACGATGGCTAGTCAAAGAACTAATTTTCTCTATCGACCGCTACAAATTTTTCGTATCACTTATCTCCCACCATAATATTGCAACATACATTGCGCTATTGGAAAAAGGCTTTCTGTTACCGACGTGACGCAAAGAGTTTAATTTACGACACTTTTATAATTGCGTATATAGATAGAAATTTCACTAGTGATTTAACATGACCAGCTAAAATCTCATCGTGGACACTGCAATGCACTATAATCAATACTGTGATTTTTATTATATACGCCGCAACTGATATTGTAGAAAATAATCAAGATAAGGAAATGAGAATTCAGTAATAATACTGTCCAACGTTGTGAAATAAGATTATTAACGAATTGTTTAAAAATACGCTCTCTAATAATATGTATTCACTTTAAACTACGATTTTAGTCTTATACGTAGTATCTATAGAAGATTAATACAGGAAGTGATACATTAATTACTATAATTTAAACTTCAAATATTCCTGCTCTTTTCGCTTCATTTCACATTAAAATCAATTTCCTCGATTACATTCTTCGACGAATAAAATAGAAGTTCACGAATGTACATTTCATAACTTACACATTCAACGGTAATCGATAGAAAGAATAAATTATTCCAGGAATCTTTCAAACGATACCTTTTAGCAATTATTTATTCCAAACGAATTGCGTCAATAATTTTGTACCGATTAAAATTCAAAACTGATCATTTTCGAACAGAATTTATCTTAATCTCTGTTGTTTTGCACGCGTGATACAATATAATTCCCATTTCTCAAAGTTTTGCTATACTCGATGCTGAAAAATCCGCCCACAACTCTAGTTTACAAAAATATGGCAATTTTTTTTCCATTTTTTCGCAAACGCACAGTAGCGAGGACTTATCTACCTCTCGTAAATAATTCACAGCCGATTTTCGTGCAGGTGTACGTGGAGGTGCTGGACAGGAACGACAACACCCCGTTGACCGAAGTTCCAGTCTATTATCCATCGGTTCTGGAGAACTCTCCGGCAGGTGTGAGCGTTCTTCAAATCCAGGCGTTCGATCGCGACGTCTCGCCCCAACAATTCACTTTTTCCATCACCAGCGGCAATCCGGAAGGTTATTTTCTCATCAACTCCACCACCGGTAAGTTCCACATGGTCAGTCAGAAAAGAGCCAATATCTTGTCACAGAATCGAAATAGATTGGCTACAACGGTCCTTGGCTGTAACGAGATCAATTTGCCCTTCTGTGAATGAGGATTTTAATAACGACAATTCGAAAATAAATCAGAGCAAGAAAATAAGTTCGAGCTTTCTGAAATTTCAATCAAGAAATGTGGATTGAAGAAGATGGGAAGATATTAACATCAGAATTATTGGATTGCTCAAAATTCATGATATTTCCGAGTTATTTTATAGGTCTATAACACTGCATTTTCGAAGATCTGAATAATTTTTCGGAAAATATATTTTCTTACTGCGTTATGTGTCTTTTCATGATAGCAATTTCTGTATTTTAATGGTCGATAGTTCTAGTACTAACGTAAAACACTTGCTCGGTTGATACATTCGTATTTGAATTTATCGAGAAAGAAATTTTAATAAATGTTTGACTTGGACGATGGCTCCGATTAAACGTAATGGGTGGTAGTTTCGCCCTCAATCTATTTAATAATGGCGTTCTGTCACATAGATTGACCCCTGTCAGTTCTCGCGATGAATTAAAGAGATAGGAGCTAGTTGAAGCGAATGCATATCGTAACGATGAATTGGCATAAAGACACAAGGCATGGTTTAAACTGCAGCGAACGATAATAAAATTGCACGTTACCTTCGTTTAATTTTTATCATTGAGCTCGAAAGTTTCAATTTGCTTTCACTTCTGAGTATCACAATAGTCTGGTTTTATAGCTCTTTGTGAATAATAAATTTTAATTATAGCCCGTAAGTTATTTATATTTGACGGCTGGCGCGAGATTCTCTCTCTCTCTCTCTCTCTCTCTCTCTCTCTCTTTCTCTCTCGTTACATCATGAAACGATATTTTGATGAACGTACAGTCTATTTCCCAACGCTTTCTGACTATTAATATTTTAATTCCACTTCACATAAAATTTTCGATCGAAAAAAGATCTCGATATTTGAAACATCTTTATCTCTTTATTCGTGTCTTTTTAACAGCTCTGTCTTTTCACTGTCAGGATACATATGTAATTTCGATTGCAAACCTGCCATTACGAGCTCTCCTAATTAAAGAGCTTAAATATCAAAGATGAAGAGTCAGGCAGGAAATTATCGACGCTGCAGGCGCGCGCCAATTTTAACGCTTCGAGCATGAAGCTCTCCATAATATTCCAATAAACAAGATTTATTCGCTGCGATTCGATATTTCCATATCGCTTAACGGTAAATTGACGATTAGAAGAAAGATTCGATTTAATGAAGATAGCAATAACCGGGGCCACTTGTACGAAGCCGACGCTCAAATTAAAAGTCCAATTTCACCCCTCTGGGTTCATTTGAAAGTCTGATTTAATCGGTCGCTGGCCCGCCAAGATTATTCACCGAGGGTCGAATCGAATTTGTATCGCAAATTGTCCCGCATTAAAATTGATTCTCACTCGTCTGGTGTACGCGTGCCTATTTACGCGCAGTATCATCGCCCTTTCATCTTCAGTTCCACTTTTCCACACCCCCTGATCAGTAATATAACCGCGTCCCGCTACTTTCTTCTCCTTTACCTTTCAATAACGAGTTTCTGACTTTTCATCGTTTCGTAATTTCGCGGGCTAACACAACCGTTCCACCAGAAACGATGAATAATGAATGGCGCGGCTTGATCGGGCGAATTTGCATACGTTATCGCGTAAGTCGAAAACAATGACTCCGACGCTTCCGCTTCTATGACGCGAGTCACTTTCCCGGAACATAGAAGACCAGAGAAAAGGGGAAACTGCTAATAAATAATGATTGACGGTTTATTAATGGAGCGAAATTATAGGGAGATAACGAGGTAGGATAATTCTGAACGCGCAGTGTGGATATTAAATCCATTTTAATACTTCGATAATGTAAAAAAATAACGAATATCTCGGAAAATAATTATTTCTTTACGTTTATGATTGTGTCTGCATTTCTGATATCGCATACGAAACATACATACCATTAGTATTTTATAGTAAATAAATGTCGATAGTTGCATTGCTTATGATGATGTTTAAGACAGATATTTATAGCTTTTACAGTTTAGCTTGATAATAACCTTCGAACGAATAAATCTTGGAGATGAAAATCGAGAGATCGTTTCATTCGTTTTCTTCGTCATCCCAATTTTCTGCAAGAAATTCGCAATGGTTAATTACAAAACGGGCAAACGCGGAACGAAAGTCTCTGCAAATCGGAATTACACATCATTCATTCAATCGGTGTACGTTCACCTCGCAGCGGCATCGCCTTTCCTCCAGAAGTTTCGTAAGCGGTCATTTATTCCCAGTCATCTCGAAGATCGATGGGAGGCGGTGCGGAAAATTGCTTACACCGGTAGAAGACGGCTTGTAATTAAAAAGTCGACCGTCCGCTGATTCGTATTCATCAGTCTTCTCGAGCCACGGGAAACTTTCCACGGTTCTTGGATTGTCGGCCCAGAAATTACGAAAAGACACCTCTACCTTTTTCCTTCTCTTTCTTTTTTTGCGTTCGATAAGGGGAGAAAAATGTACGCGTCGAGGACGAACTGGGTGACCGAAGGAAACTGTAGAACGAAACGAAAAACGGGCTAGAAGAGTCGCCATTCGATGCTCGTACGAGTGGAACGCCGGTCAATAAAAAATGAGTCGTATCTCGTCGAGTGTCGTTGGGTTATCGAACAATGATTCCGCGTTGGTCCGCGAGAAATGGTTCTTCATCTTCGATTTCTGTGGTGCATTCACACTGTGATAAGAAGCCTACGGATTTTTCTGTCATTTCGTGTCTCTATGAACTAGAGAAATCGAACCTGTAGATAGAGATTTGTTCCATTTATTTTTTTAATAATATAAATCGAAAGGATAAAAATTTGTCTAAAAAGAATTTCTCTGTTGAGACCAGTACGAATTGCGATTTATGGTAACTTATTGATAACGTCAGCAACGATTCAGAAAATCATGTGATATATAAAAGTGTCATATAATTAACGAGAAAACAGAGTTTCGTGTGAATCATTGAGAAATACAGACAGTACCATAGTCCAGTTGTCCAGAAAATATTTTGAGAATTATTATTATTATACGTATGAGATATAGCCTTTTTTAAATTTAATAAGCAAAATTCTACCTGCAATCCACGAATCGTACATAGCAAATAATTTAAACACTTTGAACATTCTATACATTTTCGTACCTAGATGTCCCATAAATTACATAAACATTCGCAATCTCTAGCGTTGCTACCGATCGTTTCGTATATTCATATTTTCTAGTTTATTTCTTTCCTTTCGATAGAATTTGATATAGGTATCGTTGCCACGTTGAAAAGTCACTGATCCCACTTTTGTTTCATGGAATGAACGATGTTTCGATTGGCCGAATGGCTTGAAAATAAATCGTACTCCATGATTCACAAAGTATCTCGCACGTTCGCTGTATCGCGCGTTTCGATGCACGTACCGACGATTCCAAGAGGTTGTTCGCTGGCCCGGATTGAAGTAGATGAAGAGAGTCGGCTTTTTGCTAGGTGAATACCTCGATGCGTGAAGTGGATCTCGGATTGGGGTGAGGTTATGATCCTTATTTATGTGAAATCATGATGAGATTGAAACGATGAAGATGTTGAGAACCGTGTGCCTGCTGGAGATCGAATTTTAAAGTAAATCTTTTGAATTTATACTTTCGCTTCTTTACTCTTTATATTCACCAGACTAGTCACAGCTGACCTACATTTTTTAATGAAATTTGTGAGAGATTAGAAATTCGACTTTTTGATCCTTTAACCTGGGAATATACAGAATCCTGGTTTTCTTATTTCTTCGTCGTGTCAAACATTAAATAATATTTTATACTAACTTCATAATTCACTATTTTTTTTTTCTTTTTGTATTTTTTTAATGATTAGTATTCTCACAATTTAATTTTTTTTTTAAAGAGTGGTTATATAATCAGTCGGTCCACCTATAATATTCAAAAGCTGAAATAATTAAAATGCTTGATTCAAAATTCCATGCATAGCGAACTGGTATTAAATAATACAAAGAAACTAAAGATTTCCAGTAATTACAAAAATAATTTATTCCGATAAAATGTATTTTTATAATTTTTTCTTAGCTCGCCAAAAAACATAATACAATGTAATCACAGCCACAATACATTAATATTTCCAAATGATTTTTCTCGTATCAAAATTTCCTCTATAACAAAAAGGGTTTTAAAGAATCTGTGCCATTTACACTGGTTTTCTGCTGATTCTCGCAATTACTGTCACGAGCCAAAAGATTAGTGTAATACGACCTCGGCATATTCCTTTCATCAACAATGCACGAAACCATTTGCACAGCGTGTGTATACGCGACTTAACCTAATACAGTGATTAAGTGAAACGCGAACGCATTCGGTTGCTTCTTTTTCTCTAAGCTGTTTATCCGGTGGATCGTCTGTGACAAAGCGTAATAATCTCGGATAAATATGTAGGAGACTACAGGGTTGCGTAAAACGTTGCGTGGTTTAACGCGGTCGTCGAGTCCGTTAAGCCGATTTCGCGATCTCCAGCGGGAATTCGATGCGTCGAGCACGCTAGATCAAATGGTAGCTGGAAGTTAAGCGCTTTTAGGCTTCCGCGGTTCAACCAGGATATATCCGCGGGATCGTCGGAAATGAATTTCGATCTCACAGAGCTGACGGTTCTACGGCTGCTGAGCGACAAATTGATGGAGCTCCGTGATGCTTGAATCTTGATGGAATAAGGAATAGGAAGATATAGGAAGTTCTTGGAATTGCTTCGAAATTTTGGCGTTCTTTAAAGTTACGTTTTATTATCCGTCAATTGTGCGAATAATCTTTCCACACGTTCTATCAATTTATTTCAACGAACACGTTGACTGTCAAGATCGTTGATAGCCCGTGCGATTAAGTTTTTTAAAGTAATCAAAATAAGATAAATTTTGTGAAGTAAAAATT